GAAGAAAGAGCCCTGCGTTGCGCTGGGCGATCTCCTGAGGGGCTGGCACAAACAAACAGCGACTGGGAGCAACTGGAGCCAATCCCCCGGCTCCCTTTGTAATGCTTTCCGACACAGATTCCCTCTCCATGGCTGACTTTGCAAGTTTCCCCATCCTCTCCCCTCCTCGCACGGCGTCTTTTCATGCGACTAAATTATACACGAGAGGAGGGACATGCTGGAAATTCTAGTGAAAAAATAAAAATGTGCAGGTTTGTGCAGGCGGCTGCAGCCTGGCCGCCTCCGGGGCTCCTGCGAGCGAGGAGGGACAGAACCCGGGCCCAGGTCAGCAGCGCTGAAGCCCTGGATTTTGAAACCACCAAGAAAAAAGCTTTTCCTGGGGAGAGCAGCGGCGTGCGGACCGGGGCTGTGCCTGCGGCGAGCCCGCGGTGGGTGCCGGGACCGCGGCCCCTCCGTGAGCGGCAGCTGCTGTCCCAGCACGCAGCACCCGTGGGGACGCAAGGCGACGCATTCACTTCCCCTGAGAAATGTCTTGTTTAGGGGCCAGTAAAAAATATGCAAATCTGGCAGGGCTGGGCCTCTGCGCCTCCAAGGCAGCCTTCCTCCCCCAGCTCTGCGGAGCGATGGGCGCCAGCCCAGCCAGAGCAGCAGAGGGAAGGGAAAGGCAGAGGGAAGGGAAAGGCAGGGCCGGCGGGAGCGCGGGGGCGGCTGTAGGCTGAGATTTGGGATGCCGTGGAGCAGGACGGGGAGATGTGCACGGGATAGCGGCTCCTCCAGACAGCGGGCATGCGGAGAGGGCTCCCGCTCCCCGCAAGCCCAGGTGGGTGGAGCGTGCTGTCACTTTTTGGTGCTGGGCAAGCCCGGCATCGCTGTCGCAGAATTGCTGCCTGTGCTCTGATGAGTCAGTAACAGCGCTGCCACGTTTTCCTCCTACCAGGCAGCGTCCCGTCGCGGGTCGGTCATGCTCCGCACCGGGACGCTCCCGCACACGCGGTGCTGGTTCGGCTCTGGAGCCGCGTGGGTGGGTGAATCTCCAGCAGCCGCTCTCCGGGGAAGCCCCTCTGGAGCAGAGGGCTGCGCGGGGATGAGGACGCCGACCTGCAACTCGGGCGAGACGCAGAGCGCCTGGCTCAGGCGGCGATCCCACGGGACACGGGCATGTTCCTGTGCCTGCGTCCCACCTCCTCTGCCAGACAATGAAACACTGCCCTCCTTCCCAAGTCGCAGCAGAACAAATAAAGCAAGCGCCATATGGTGCCAAGACACGTTGGAAATGGGGCCAAGCCCAGGAGGTAGGGGAGATGGCAAGCCTCCCTCCCCACGCCAGTCCCCATCCCGAGCTGCAGGCCTTGGGGGAACGCTGCACCCGCTCCCCCTCCCCCCGCAGCTGCTGCCCCGCTCCCCAGGCCACCGGGCACGGCTCCGCTCCTCAGCCGCGGCTTTGCAGTGGCTCACTTGCCCTCCTCCCTGCCTGCAGGCTTGGGGAGCACGGAAACCAAAGCTGTCCCCAAGAGCCCTTCTTCCCGTAAGGGCCGGGCCCGGGACACGGGAGTCACCACTGGACCGGCTCTGGGGCACGGTCAGGAGATAACGCCCTGCCACGGGGCAGCACACGTCCTCCCACCCTTCCCCCCGAATTACAAATAGGCGCCGAAGCCGCAGACAGCGGGTCCCCTAGAGCCCCTGCAGCCCCGGGGCCGGCGGAGCAGCTTCCCCACAGTGCCAGGACGCCACGGCCACGGGACCCTCCTGTGAGCAGAAAGCGGCGGCGATCCTCCCGCCGGGACACGCTCCCGAAGACCTGCGGCTCACGGGTGCCCCGCGTGTTCTCAGGCAAGTCACCTCCAAGCACAGGCACCCACAAGCGAGATACCTCCGAGCAGAGCTGGGCATCCCGACGATGGCTGGGCTTTCAGGGGTGCTGAGCACCCGCAGGTCCCCACAGCCAGCTCCCTGCAGCAGATGCGCGTCCCCCGAGCACCCAGCCCGCCCTGGCCGCCCGAGGCTAGGGCCCGACCTGGGACAGAGCTGCCTCGGGGGCTGGATGTGATGAGCTCCTGGGGGAAGAGGGGCTCCAGGAGCTCCCCAAACTCTACCAGACTCCTGCAGGTTTAGCAGACGCCAGCCTCGGCCGTGCCTGGGGCCCCCTTCGCACGGCCAGCATGGCACAGGGCACGCACCCGCCCCGCCACCCTCATCTGCCCCATTCCCTCTGCAAGGCCCTCAAAGAGGGCAGCGCTGGGCTCGACCCCAGGACTGAATCAAAATTAGGATCTCCTGGAGGTTTTGTAGCCACGGGGCTCAACTCTATCACTTGCTAATGTGAGCGGATCATTTGCACCTGAGTCATGCCGATGAGAATCAAGTAAGTTGTGCAAGCAAAGGAGTTTATTGAATCATACACAAAAATGTAGGGATGATAAGGATCAGACAGGACCCGGAGCAGGCCACAGTTCTCTCCCCGCCATCCTCCTGCCTCATTTAAGGAGGCAGCTCTGCCTGAGGGAGAGTCCCGCCGCCCTGGCCCCCGTCCCTACCTGCCACCGGCCGCCAGCGAGGTGCTCATCCTCTGGAGATGCTCCGCACCCACGAGCGCTTGCGGGGTGCTCTGAGATGCGAAGCGCTGTATGAAATTGTTCTGCATTATTATTTATGGCCAGCGTTACAGATAACGGGAAAAGCAAGGGGCAGCCTTGTCCTGCACAGCCTACCTGGCCTCCTGCGGAGGGAACGCGGCCCTGGCGGAGGGTCCCGGCTGCGGTGCTGCTTGGTGGCCGGTGGCTGCGGAGGTCTGTGCTCATCATGGTCCCGGCTCCGCTCGGACTTCCTACCCCACCACGTGTTGATAAACAGAAAAAAATGTACAATGGATGCATTGAAGTTCATAGTTAAGCAGCGTACAGCAGTGTCTGGTCAGAAGGGGAACTTCTGCGTTATTTTTTGCTCTGTTAATTCAGAGGTGGGAATTGGCTGAAACAAGGACAATCCACAGGACGCAGGGCCGGGTCTGGATTTTTGAACACCCCCAGGGCAGGGTTAAACGCCAGTAGGCAAGAGAACAGCGGCAACAACCAGGAACAAAGGGGACGTGGGTGTTGGGGCAGGCGTGGGTCGCCCCGGCTGACTCCTGGGAGCAGAGGAAGGAGCTGCCGGGAGGTGCGGGGCTAGGGCATGCCCAGCCCCCGGAGACGGGCACCGCTGGGGAAGCACGTGCAGCTGGACGGCGAGGCCGGGGATCCCCGGTGGATCACCAGCGGGCGGCTGGCAGCGGGCTCTGCCGGCGCTGCTCGTGCGCCGGGGACCATCGAGGAGGATCCCCCTGCAGAGCAAACCGCCCACCTTTCCCCAGCGGTGCCTGTCCCCGCGGGACGTACTGGCTGGTCACGGCGCTGGCACCGCGGCTGCGCGCACAGGATGGTGCCCGGCTGCTGCAGGGGCGGGCAGCGTGCACAGCTTGATCCAGCAAGCCAGCGAGCTGCAGGCGTTGGCAGCGCAGGCAGGGAGCCCGGGCAGCGTTGCCGACAGCAGCCTGCCCGGGGGGGAGAAGCCAGGGAGGCCCTGGGTCCATGCCACGACCCAGGGACCTCGCAGCTTCCAAGGCGCCCAACTGGTGCAGGTGGCCCCGAAGGCAATGAGGTTTGCACCAAGGGATGCGTGTGCCCCAGTGCCGCGCCGGCCGCATCCTGCTCATCAGCAGACAGGCCTGGGGCCTGCGCCTGGCAGGAGATATCGCAGGATCGGGCCCAGAGCAATCTGTTCAGATAGAAGTGGGTGGTAAATTAACGGAAATGGGAGAACAACTCCCCTGTAGCTCCAAAGCGGGGCGTTATCAGTGAGCAGAGCTCTAACGAGCCACGGAGAAGGCTGGAGCCCTCTGTGCCATTTCATCGCTGCTGCTGCTCTGTGTCGGATTTCCCAGGAGCCCTGCAGCCTCGGCCTCATTAATTATGCAAATGAAAAGGTGTTGCCAGCGGCCATCCCTAGGTAGGGTCCCTGAAGTTGGCTGACCGCGGCCGCTCCCCTGCGTTTGGGCAGGGAGGGTCCGGGAGCACATCAGGCAGGATGGATGTTTGCAATAATTATCCAGTCATCCCCTTCAAGTGTACTGCAGCCATAGCAACAGACAGATGTTCTGTCCCAGCCAGAGTCCGCAGCGAGCTGGGGAGAGAAGCACAAAAATTAACCCGTTCAGCCCCAGGACGACACAGAATCCGCTTTATTCCGGGACCAGACCAGACTTCAACATCCCGGAGACATTCTAGGAAATCAGGTAAAAAACCAGCCACGCGCCCCCCAAATAAAATCAACAGAAATTGCCCGGAGCTCGCTCAGCCACCGTCTGACACACTAAGTTGAGTGAAGGGAGCAGCATCCCGTGGGCCGGTGGCCTGGCCCTGCCGGGTGCCCCGGTGCCTCCTGGCCCGTGCCGGGTGACGAGCCCTGCTCGTGCTCAGCGTCTCCCAGGGGCGATGCCGCAGGCGAGGCTCTCTGGGGCGGGTGGTGACGAGCCTTTGGGGACACACGGCACCGGGGAGCCTGTTCAGGGACAGCCACGAGCAGTACCCACACCGCGGCCGCAGCGTAGACCACGCTGGGCACCCAGCCGGGCAGGGGAGGGGGCGGATGAGCCACACGGACGAGCGTCCGCTGCTCAGTTAACAGCTCTGTCAAAGCATTTACAGTATTCGGAGGTGGGATGCAGCCAGACCGACGAATAGCCGGCATTTCGTTATCCCACTGCCGCACAGGTTTCCAGGATTCAGCCTGAGTCCATTAAATGCCACCCAGAAATATCATCGCAAGGGCCCTCGTGCCCACCAGCACACCAAAAATGTAAACCCAGCTTCTGCTGGGGGCCCTGATGGCCGGCAGCCCTCCCCAGGCACAAAGTCCCCAGCCATTCCTTTAACACTAGCCCTGAAATGTTTTAAGCTACAGGCCGGCCCCCGCCTCCCAGTTCCCTTCGGAAAGGATGGGAGCTGCCCAGCCCGGCCGGGACTCGCCTCTCCGCTCCGGTGCCAGCCGTGCCCAGAGGTCCCGCAGAGGCAGCGGGGATTCCTCAGAGCCCAGAGCAATCCCCTGACCTCAGAGCCGTGTAAACGGGCTCACAGGAAAGCCCCTGGCCAGATGTTTGCAGCTGCAGATGCTGCTGGAGTGCACCCACGGTGAGGGTTTCAAAGGCAGAGGATGGGACTGGGGAGGACAACTCAAGCAGCTGTGCCTGGGGGAACGGCTTACACCGGGAGGAGAGGAGAGGAGAGGAGAGGAGAGGAGAGGAGAGGAGCGGCGCATCGTCTTCGCTGGCGCGT